CTAGGCCTGGCTCTACAATAATTGCACTCATTTTGGTATGATCCTTGGCATAGATTATCACTTAGGGGCTGAGGATTCTTTCCTTTTAAACAAGAGGTTTTATCAGTCCAGTTGACTTGCTCTTGGTCTCCTTGTACTTTTCTCATCAGCCTTTTGCATCCGCGGACGATTCATAGTTCTTAGCTATTTCGACAACCGTACAAAATGCTACCAGGACTCCTTCCTTCTTCTGATGGCCATTAGTATTCAACTTTCCTTGTAGAGTTTCGTCCACTAAACCAGTAATAAACCTGTCATGACAAACTTGATCCTCAAAGTCCCCCTTATTCACAATACTTGGCTCACTTTACTACTCGACATTCCCAGGTGCTAACTGATTCTCCTTCAGTTTGAAACATGCAACCCATTTCTTTTTCGCTCAGCTTGAACACTCGCACTGCCGCCAAATCTCTCAATGAGGGCCTGAAGAACATTCACTGAGTTATTATTATTAGTCTCTTCATCCTTGGCGGAAGCATAGCACAAAAAGTATACATACACAAATCGGGATTTTTCCACTGAGCCACTCCAGCTTCGCTGCCAGCGTCGCGTCCAGCCAGCTTTCGGAGTGAACCATCCATCACCGTACCGTAATCAATGTAGTCTAAAATAAAATTTTCTAGAGCCTCTCGATCATCTAAACCTTCTTGTATCTTAGGGACTGGAAAACCGACCGGTGTGCCCACCATTAGAACAGAGAACACAACGAAATTGAAAAAAAAACAAAAACAACAACTTGACAACAAAATGGCGGGAACTGAATATGGAACGATTGCAATCACAGTTCCATGTCATGCACTCTAGACCAGACGACCAGAACTCACGGTAAACTTCTAGTGAAGATTCATCCCACCCCTGACACCATGTTGACCGGCCAATATGGACACGAACAGGAAGAGCTGGACAAATACAACGAGCAAACTTTATTCTGGCTGTCAGTCATGGTTTCTACACCAAAACACACAGATGCTTCTTCACATGCACAACACTGATGACCAATTACAGCAGTCTTACCAAGAGTAGCTATTGCTCCATTGATCACAACGTTCACAAACTGATGTCCGTAAAAAGTTATTCAACTTCTTACTTTGTTAAACGAACACCATGAGAACTGAAATAAAAGTACAAACAAATTACAAATGAGATCATGTAAATAATCAGATAAAAATACATTTCATGCGCCTCAAAAAGTCACAAGAAAAAGGAAAAATAACAATTTACAATTAACGGTACAACGATGTCATAAGCAACTTTCACTTAAACTAAATTTCAAGTCTTAACTTACTTCACAAAACGAGAAATCACAATTAAAGAATGATACAAATTTCTCAATTAAATAAACTAAAAGGCGTAAAAAAATATTTACCTTGTTGCCGCTATCACTAGAACAATTAAAAAGGTTTGAGCACAGCGGCTAAAACTTCGCTTTCAGTTGTAAGATCTTGGGTCAACTGATGACAAAAGAGAACAACGTAACCTTTATACAGCTTGCGGGCTGTCGCGGTGCTTTCGTGAGCGCTTGCGATACGCGCGTGCAACTAAATTAAAGTTCGCGCGCTGCTATATTGCGTCTGTTACAGTAGCTAACCATCTTCCCTCTGCTAATGGATATGCCAATGATACACAACTTGATCTGTTGGTTAGACCTAATGGCTGATCTTCGCAAGACTATGCCATAGCTTCTGTAGAGGCTTGCAACTCAGATGTGCGTGTATGGTTGATTTATAACTACCTGTTCATCAACGATTTGAAAACTTAGTTATTGGTTCCCGCCATCAATCATAAAAAATCACAATTGCTTACATCACTGTCGGTGATTCTACTATCCAGCATATCGACAGTGTTTTAAACGTGGGTTCCTGGTTTTATTCCAATATGTCTATGTCCATTTGTAATTGACTCCAGGCGTGATAACTGCAAGTTCAGAATTAGAAATAAGGACTTCGAAGCACTGATTAAGAGCACTGAACTTCGTTTTGATTTCCAATGAATTATCTTTGTTACAATGTACGAATGCTCAAAACCGTCAAACTAAAATACAAGCGAGAATATCTAGTGTAAGCGACATGAAAGGATAAAGCCGAACAATAATTAGATGTGATAAAAACACGAATGCAGGAAACGGCAAAACAACTAAAGTAGAAATAACCGACGAAATGAAGCTAAGAAAGGTAGAAACACGTGCTTACCGATTGTCCTCTCTGTATGCCTGAGTAGTAAAATACGCAAGATCCAAAGACTTCGCAATGAACGCAATAAACTTCAAGAACGCAAACTTAGACCGTGCACACAGACTACTAGGAAAGACGCGTCAGGTTCTGAAATACGATCTGACAGAAACGTCACTAATATCTAACCTAGATAGTAACACCATTCTCATTGGTAACAGCTGCAGCAAGGCTTTTCATGGCTTGTATAAAATTCGCCAAATTAGGAAATTCCTTACTCCTGAGTCCTTGAAGACTTCAGTTTTCGCATTTGGGACTTCACATTTGGACTACTTTAACTTTCTTCTCTTTAGCGTCTCCAAGTAACAGACAGATCGTCTTCAGAAGGTGCTTAACACTGATTATTTTTTAGGATTCCAAAGTTTGATCACATTCCGTCCAACTTATCTCATCTTCACTGGCTTCCTGTGACTTATCGCGTTCATTTTAAGTTGTTACGCTTAGTTTATAAATCTCTTAACAACCAAGGCCCACAATACATTAAAGAATATCTGCAGCCATACTCCATTTCTGGTTATCACCTACATTCCTGTGACTAGGGCCTTCTTAAGATCCCAAGAACTTATTTTAAGACCTTTGGTGATCACGCCTTTGCCTGATGTGGGCCATTCCTGTGGAACAAACTGCTGCTTAAAATTCGAAACAGTCAAAGTGTAGCCACTTAGAAGTCGAAGCTTTAAGACACGTCTGGTGAAGCTGGCTTACGATTAGTTTTAACATTTTAAAATTTAAAAATTTTTCATATTTTATCATTTAATCTTTTAAATATTTTTAAATAATATTTTGTAAAGTGCCTTAGAATATTTTTAATAATTTTAGCGCTTCTGAAATGTAAATTATTATTATTATTGTTATTATTATTAGACATTTAAACACATTTTTTTTCGATTGTCAAGCATTTTGTCCTAATTTTTGTTATAATTTTGGTGATTATGGTGAATAAAGGATTATTTTTATAATTATTATTATTATTATTATTATTATTAATATTATCATTATCATCAAGGCTACAAAAGAAATCCACAACTCACTCACCATGCTCTGTAATCTACAACATACATGGAACAACTACAATTCTCTTGAACAGCTGACCACATGCTCTGCGTAATGGTATTAATCCCATAAAGAAACAAACTCGATTGTTGAGCATAAGTTTAACATTAGCTGGTGCGGATGATATTTTTTGATAACGCAACCTTGGAAAATCCCTAGCAAATTTGAGATTGACAGAAATGGTTGGCTACTTGCTTCCCATGAAGGAATTATATTGTAATTGTAAACAGTAATTAAGAAAATATGTTTTCTAACAGTTTCTTTTTTAAGCATTTAAAAAAAGAGAAATGTTTCCTTTTGATAAAAAAGGACCCTCAACCAACAACTCTAGTTTTAATGAATTAGAAGAATAAATGATGCAAATTTACTAAAACTTGTAACATTATTTTGACATCTGTTAATAATTTAACTTAATTCAAACGGGTGAATCATACCATCTTGGAACTGTTCATTCACAAAATCTCATTAAAAAGATCACAGTGGTGCTACATTGAAAAATACACTCCATAACTATTTTGTAAGATGTTTGGCAATATATAGAAATCATACAGCGTCATTTAGACATGAGAACAAAAGGAACGCAACAGAGTTGAGCAAATATATCTGGTCCCTAAAGGATGCTGAAACGGAGTTTTCCGTGACCTGGAAAATAATAGCTCGCGCCAGGTCGTACTTAAATACTACAAAGAGATGCAATCTTTGCATAGCTGAAAAATTCTTTATCATGTACAGAACAGGGGCGGGCACCCTAAACAAAAGGAACGAACTGGCGAGTGTGTGCCGGCACTCAACTAAATATTTGATAAGGCATGCTCAAACCACCTGCTTTAAAAAGGATTGTTAGTCAACTAGTATCTTATGCACCTGATGAGAGAGGACTTTTAACCCTTTCGAAACAGATCTGTAGTGCGAAGTCTTAGTGCGAAGTTTAAATTTTTATTTTCCTATGGAATTGTTTACATATATATATGTATGGCAAGTGTAAAACGATGAAACATGAAGCAAACGTCTAACTGTTCCAGCTTTAATGTGGCGACGTTCCGGCCTTCGGCCTTCTTCAGGTGGAACGTATTTACATAGAAATTAAAAACTAAAAATCCTAGTAGGTTTACAGAATGACCTGAATTTATACTAAACGTAAGAAATAAAAATAGTATTGCATAATGCATTCCAGACCTAAATAATAGGATATGATAATGAGTAAAAGGCAAGAATGTGCAATAGGCGAAATAACCACGAATGGTTGCGAAGAACTCAATTACAATGTGTAAATGATGCCCTAATTAAGTATTATAGCGGACGCGATTTTTGGATATGAATTCGCGTCTTTTGTTAAGTCCGTGGGGACTGAGTGTACATAGTTGTGCGGTCCAATAGGCCTCTCTCGTAAGTAATAATCTATCAATATAAGCTGCGTCCCCTTGGCTGATAATTTTCTCAACAATAAAATTAATTTCAGAAATTTCGTGTTTGGTACAATTGAAGTGGACTGCAAGCTCGTACGTTTTTTTTGTTTGTTCGCATAGATGACTTGTGATTATGAAAACGCACTTTGAATTCAGTGGAAGTAGAACCCACGTATTGTAAATTGCATTTCTTGCACGAGGCCAAGTAAACAACATTTCTGGAAGAGCAAGACAGGTTTTGGCAAATCTTATAGGTTCGGCCTGTGGAAAAACTCTAAAATTTGGAATCTTGAATTAAAAAACTCTTGCAATGGTCGCATCTAGAGGAGCATTTAAAACAACCTCCCGTTTCCTTCTCTGCCTGACTAACTTTCCCACCCATACAAAATCTAGAAGGCGCCAAAATGTCTTTGAGGTTTTTGGTACGGCGATATGCTGGAAAAATCGATTTTGATGGAAAAATTTCCAATAACTCAGGTGACGATCTTAAGAGATGAGCATGCTTTTGGATAATCCTCTGAATATCAGTGATGATAGGATTGTAGTCGAGGACTAACGGAAATACTTTTTTGTTGGACTTGACATTTTTCTTGAGGAGTACTGATCTTTCAATTCTCAGCGCTCTGTCAAATTGATTGTCTACCAAATCTGCATTATAACCCTGGGATTTAAGATACCCTTTATATTCAACACATCTCTTGTAAAGGGACTCGTCCGTAGAACAGTTACGTCTAATGCGTAAAGCAACTCCGTAGGGAATTGCCCTTTTACAGTGTGCCGGGTGCGAACTGGAAAAGGGTAAATGAAGATGGCTATCTGTAGGCTTAGCGTAAATATCAGTAATTATGAACCCGTCTTGAAGGTGCAGTGTGAGATCCAGGACACTGAGGGTGTGCTCAGAGTACACCAGCTCAAATTTGATGGTGGTATAGAGGGAATTGAGGTACTCGGTAAACTCTAATAACTTAGGCAAACCATGTGTCCAAACATCGAAAACATCATCCCTATACCTCCACCATAACAATGGTTTCACACCACCTCCAAACTTAGCTTTCTCATCAATTAATCCCATAGCCAAGTCGGCATAACTGCATGCGTTTTTGGGGCCCATAGCCGTACCATGTTTTTGCACAAAATTTTTCCCCGGAAATTGACAATTATTGGCTTGGAGACAAATTTCGATTGCCTCAACAATGCATTCGGGGGATGGAAATTTCATCGATCTAGAATCAAGAGCTTTTCTAACAGCTGAAATGCCTAAGTTATTATCAATATTGGGAAACATAGCCACGACGTCCCAGGAGACCAACAGACACCCAGGTGGTAAAGGACCGTTCTCAGAATTAAATGTTTGGATCTTGTTGATAAGATCAGTGGAATCTTTAACAAACGAGGGTAGATTTTGGGCGAGAGGCTTAAGATAAAATTCAGTAAAAGCAGAAAGTCTTTCGATTGCTGTTCCGCAGCAAGATGTAATTAGGCGGAGAGGGCTGCCCTCTTTGTGAGTCCTCACATTGCCAAAAGCCACCCCCGGTTTTTGTTCCAAATTGGCAACCCAAGTGGCAATCTCCTGACTAATCTGTCCTTCACTAAACCATTTCTGTCCCCAAATTTTGACTTTATCAAAATGCTCAATGGTGGGGTCCTGGTTAAGCTTAGTATAATAAAGATCATTGTTAAGCTGCCTTAACATCTTATCTTGGTACTCATTTTGGGAAATAATAACAAATCTAGATCCCTTATCTTAAATTCTAAATACATGGTCACTAGCTTTAAGTTTACCTACGGCTGATCTCTCCTCCCTCGTCAGGTTGTCCTTGGCTTTTCTCAAGTTCTTAGGTTCGAGAATGTCCTTCTTAACGTTGTTTAAGAAAAGTTCAACCTCAGGGAAACTCGACTTTGCAGGCATGTAATCAGTTGCGGATGGAATTGTTGGGAAACGGTCATCAGCTGGGGGATTGTTTTTGTCTGGATTTCTGCCGTGATGGAATACAGCAAGTCGAATTCGTCTGTCAAATTTATCGAGGTCATCAATGGTTTTCTGCCATTTGACATCCTTCGGCGTCGGGCAAAATGCTGGACCTTTCATCAAAAGGGAAGGTTCCTCATCCGAGAGATCACAAGATGTTAAATTGATAAGGGTGTAGGTCTGAAATTTTCTCAACGTTTTCTTGCGGTGAACTGGCTTGATGATTAGAGTGTGATGCAGTTCTAAGTGCGCCATTTCTGGTAAAAAGCCGTCTTTTAGTTCTCGATTCTTCGTGTCGAGGGATGTGGCAGGTTGCTTGTTGCACTGGATTGTAAGGTGTGGCCACTGTAAATTTGTGACGGGCAATACGCAACAAGTCAAATTCTAATCGCTTCATTTGTCTTCGAGTTCCTTTCCAGACTGTTTTTGCTGTACATTCATCGTAGTTCTCGAGAAGTTTTTCGCGTTTGGAGTTCAATATTCTTTGTAATGATTTCGTCCTAGACCATGCTGCCTCAGAGACTTCCCTTAAGATACCAAATGGGGCCGCCATTAGATGTTGTTTGCACGCTTCTTGCAGAATACTATTATCTTTGTCAAGTTGAAGGTCAAATGATAACATTAGACCTTTTGGAATTCGACTTCTTGTAACACATGTAGAAAGAAAGTTGCTGTGATGTTTTTTACGGACAAGTTTGTTCCACGTGTTGAATAATGATGTTGGAACGCCAGACAACAGAGCCATCAGATCATAAAAACGATGCACGGTAAACCGGAATGGAGAGGCCTACTGGACCGCACAACTATGTACACTCAGTCCCCACATTAAAGCTGGAACAGTTAGAAGTTTGCTTCATGTTTCATCGTTTTACACTTACTTAACATTTTCATTGAAGCATTGTATCCTCCGCGGATCCTTCTACTGGGAGCTCATCATTTCGTTTACCTTTTTATTCTGTTTATATAGCAAGTTAATAGGCCTCGAGCCAACAGTGACGCCGCGCCAGAAGGATCCAAAAGGATTCACAGTCCAAACCTCAATAAATAATAGGAAAAATATTGTAGTTACACGAGGACGGACAACTTCAAGCTAAGAAAGACATATACTCAAATAAAATGTCTAAGAAAGTTTAATAAAATACGTTTCGGTCCGAGACCTTCATCAGTTGTAATACAATGACTTACAAATTCCTTAAATAGATTTATATAGGGCGTGATGACACATATAAACAAACACAGTAATTACTACGCGAAAAATTATCACAATAAAAAGAAATGGAAAAATTGTCAAATCCACTGAAAATGTTAAGGAGCCAGCGTTGACTTGAAAGGCGAAAATTGTACTAAAATTCCCAATCAACGCTGAGACTGGGACCTTTGATGCCCGCCCAATTTGAAAAAATTCTCTGCATAATTATAGTTTATTCTTTTTTTGGAGAGAGCTTCAATCTTGTAGAGAACAGATCTTCTCATCTATCAACAATGGCTCCGCGACTTATATCTGGAATGGCCTAAAAGCAGAAAATTCCAACTTACTTTGTAATCTGAAAGAACGCAAGCAAAGAAAGATGCTAAAAACAATTCCGTTAGATCAGGAATTGCTTGCCAACAACTCAAGAGATCTACTCATCAACACTGCCGCACAAACCTGTCTTTACTGTGGGCTACAGAGTTAGTAAGGAAACGTAAACTCTAAAACGATGGTAGACGTCCGCGTACATTTGAAACACGACACAAAGACCGTTGGAATCGGCTTGGTAACCTCGTCATGTTGGCAAACCAAGATTCGCGGGGGTACTAGACCTCAACTTACCTTAACTTGCGGTGTAAAGAAGATGTAACTGAATTATTAGGAGAGACTTTCAAACAATTTCGAGGAAGTAGTCTACAAATGGGACGTGGATGGAGAAAAATGAGTGATAACCCAAACAATGTGTCATTTACTTATGATGTGCGATCCTCGCAGTAGATAGCGCTATTTATGCAATAGCGAAAATCAGACCTGAAAAAAAATCTAATACTAATCTAATATCGTATCGTATCTAATACCGCAGTTCAAAATATATGAACTTCATATATTCATTGCATCTCAATGTGTCATTTCTCTGTTTCGAGTCATGTTCGTTTAACAATCACCGACTTTCCACTGAAGTCAAGATCACTCAACTCTCATGCTCTCGAATCTCTTACTCCCTCATTTCTCATGGCTGTGAAAGCGATATTGGGAAGTTCGTGGACATCTCGTACATAGAACGTTACCCATTCAGCCAGAGAATCAACTTGATTCTAGCATTCGTTGACAATGCGAAATTTAGCAAAGGCACAACACCGGAACATGGGGAAACCACATCCCTTCCTCATGTCACTGGCCAGCACATTGATTTCTCGAAAGGAACTGACATCAACAGTAATGTGGGTGAAATAAGGGTTTGCTCCGATATCTGTAAATATCATAACTGTTAAAGATGGCACTTGCAGTGCGTATTGCAGTCATATTAAACTTCTGGGTTCACGAGCTAAATCCAGAAGGCTTGCAAGGGATTCCATCCACGCTCACACAAACAAGAGATATCTCTCCAAGACTGACGTTCTGCAACAACTTGGCAAAGAAAGGCAAGCACGTCAAAATGCAGAGAAAAGGGAGCGATACTGGAGAGAGAAATTCGATTCTCACTGCCTTGAAATGGCTGAGGAAGATCACGATGATTTTTTCCAAATGTTTTTGAGTACCGGTGGCCAAAATGTCCCCACCCAAATGGCGTGTCTCTGGGAGCAACAAAAACGCCTTCTACAAAGCAAAACCAAAAACGGTTACCGGAGGCATCCAAAGTAAGTCAATACATTTTAGCTCATTCCATTATAAACGAGGGTTCAGCCTCTTCACACAAGACCATTAAAAGGCCCTACTCCAGTGCTCCAAACTCCACTGGGGTGGCAACATCATCTTCAAAACAAGCTTTTACTGGCCCATCCAGCATGTCACAAGGAAACTGAAAAGGCTCCTCGTTTTCCTGATCAATTTCCTGGTAGCGGTCTCTTACACTTAGCAAATCATCTTGTTGGAAGGGCTTGTTACGACAGCAGGAAAGATCCATAGCTGGAGAGCAAAGATGTGCTGAAGAGCAGATTTCAAGTGCCTTTTTTACTGGCTTCAAAAGCTGAAGACGATTAAAATTTACAATGCGTATGTGTTCAGGAGATTTCACCCTAGAAATTGCAACATAAATTAGGCCTGGAACGTACTCTCGAGAGCAGAACACAACTGCAGATGACAGAGTTAATCCCTGTGACTTGTGGCAGGTGACAGCATAAGCAAGGACAACCAGAAACTGTGATACACTTCCAACCATTTGACCATTTCTGTCCTGCTTGATCCACGTTTCCCGCCCTAATTCAACGAGTCCCTCTCCAAAGTTCAACAACAGCTTTCCATTGCCGCTAACGCCGGTGAATGTGCCAAGGGTTCCATTCCTTAAATAATCTGACTTGTTCCAAACTAGCATCACCTTACAACCAGGTTTAAGTTGTAAAACAGGTGCTCCGGGCCAGCTCATACTCCTTGATTTGTCGTTTTCATAGTCGGCATGAAAAATAAACAACTCTCCAGGTATTGCATCGAGCTGCCGTCTGTTTGCAAGCTGAACTGGAACTTTCTTGAAGTAAATTTGGGTGGCTGTACGCTGAAGTTCCCAGGGTAATTGCCTTTGCAAAGACGCTAGATACTGTTTGGTGGCGATGGAACATGCCCCCTCTCTTATCTCCGCCAGAGCCGCCAAGAATTGTGGGTTTTGCTGCCGAATGACTTTTGTTAACCTGAACCGATGTGAAATGGCAAAATCGAATAGAGGAGAATAAAACATGAAGCGGCCTTCGTCAAATATATTCGGCACAGGTTGCAGCTGCAAGAATTCTCCTATCAGTAACATTTGTTTCCCTGTAAATGGAAAGTTTTTACAATCACCGTTCGCCAGTTCGTGGTGGAGAAAGTTGACAAGTTCGAATATTCTCTGGGATGACATACTGGCCTCGTCACACACAATTATGTCGAGGTCTTTGACTCGGTCTCGAACTACGGAATTTTCAGCCGAGCGATCAATCAATTATCGCCAAGGTAAATCTGCCGTGGATAAGCCATAAAACGAATGAACAGTTGACGTGATCATACACTTGACAAGCAATGCCGCTCGAACATATCACACCGATCTCTCCCGCACGTTTTGCCTTTCCAATGAATGCTTTTACGACCTCGCTTTTACCAACGCCAGCCTGGCCAGTAATCAATAAATTGTGACCTTTAAACGCAAAGTCCACTATTTTACTCTGGTCCACATTTAACTTTACCCTGAAGTATTAAATCAAAATACAACATCACCTCGTGATTGCTTGTAATGAAGAAACTACAACTTGCGAATATATTGGAAAACTTGAAGTTTTCAAGAGCGGGAGACATCCATCCATCTATCCATACACACATAGAAACATACAAACATACATGAGAAAAAAAACCAACGTAAACCAATTGAAATACTCACATGATTGAAAAGAAATAACAAGTTGACCGGCTACATTTTTTTCCTGGGTTTCCTCCGAGTTTTGTAAAAATTTCCCACGTGCAAACAAGATGCTGCGCGGTTTTGACTGGGTGCTTGAGCCAATGGTACATTGTAGGTTCGACCTGAGGGGACCCCGGGTTGTACAAGAAGTTTTGTTGACAAGTTGAGGTCTATTACCCCCGCGAGTCTTGGTTTGCCAACATGACGAGGTTACCAAGCCGATTCCAACGGTCTTTATGTCGTGTTTGAAATGTACGCGGACATCTACCATCGTTTTAGCGTTTCACTGAGGACACGAAGAGCCGCCTGGTGCCGATCGCCGGGATGAGATTGTGTGGCTAGAGAATTGAAATGAAAGATCAACCTTTGCCCTTGAATTCTGCGGTGGACTTGTGGCCGTGGGTACATTTTAGCTTGGGATTTTTTACTTCGTTCGGCAGGCTGTCCGGAAAGAAGTGTTCGACCTTGTCTTCTCTTTACGTAGTAGAAAACCAGGATTAATAAAAACCGCTTAAATCAAGTGAAATCGGTAAAATAATGACACCAGGAGCAAACAACATACGTATGGAACTAGGTAAGCTATTTTCATTTAAATATTTTCACTTTAAACTATTGTAGCGTAGTCTAAACGAGTACAAGAACGATGGTAACACAACGGTTCTTTAATACGTCTCATAAAAGCCCGCCATTACTAGGCGTAATACAACAACAACGACATCCGGGATACCTTTCATTCTACTGCGCATGCCCGAAGGGCCTATGACATCACAGCATCGTTACATCCCCCTTCTTAAACAAATAAAGCAAAGCGAGGGGACAGTAGGGTAAGTAATAGTTGGAAAGTCAAGCGATCTACAAAGAGAAGAAAAACAAGTCTAACGGTGTTCCCTGTCCAAAACTTTTTGGAAAGGCCTGTACTGGATTCCTAGGTGGTAAAGTCCTTGAGGTAAGCTTGTCTCCTAACCATCCTGCCACTTCTAGTAGAAACAGGGGAGGGACACCTGGCGAAGCTGGGCGTAGATCTGGCTGTGCCACATCTGGTAACTGCAATGCTGAAGGTTCATGGGGTGCCTGGAGTGTCTCCTCAGTAGGTTTCTTGGTGGAGGGTAGAGTTTGAGGATTGGCCTTCGATTCTACTATGTCTTCGTCTGGCATTGCCTGAAAGTTCTCAGGAACTTTGTACAGATGTGAACGATTTCGGCGGTAGACACTCTCCCATCTTCCGTGTGGACCTGATAAGAATGTGGAGCTTCTGACAAGTCACTTGTGCTTTAAACCATCTTGAATGACCTGGTAACGTTCGGACCCGCACCACGTCTCCATCTCTTAGCGGCTGCAGATCTTTAGCACCTCTGTTGAAAAAGAACGATTGCTTGTTTTGCCTCCGTTGTAAACTCCGGTGTACATGGGGAATGACTTTGGGCTGAAGTAGGTGTCTAGCCGTGGGTAGCAAGGTACGGGTTCTGCGCGCAAAGAGACGCTGTGCAGGGGTGCTTTCCATTCCTTCTGATGGCGTATTCCAGAAGTCCAGTAGAGACAAGTGGGGGTCATGGCTTGCATCAGCAGCTTTTCTCAAGATATTTTTTGTAGTTTTGACACTGTTCTCAGCCTTCCTGTTGGATTGAGGATACCGTGGAGACGTTTTAACATGTTCAAACTGGTACCCAATGGCAAACTTCTGAAACTCAGCACAGTCGAACTGTAGGCCGTTGTCTGTGGTGAGCCGGTCTGGAAGACCATATCTGGCCAGATGGGGTTTCAGCTTGTTGATGACCGATCTGGCTGTCGTAGACGTTAGTATATCCAACTCGAAGAAATTAGAGTAGCGGTCGGTGGTAATCAAGTACTGGTTACCCTTGAACTCGAATAGGTCTGCTAAGATGCTCTGCCATGGTCGTGCAGGTATTTCGTGACATTTCAGAGGTTCTTTCTGCTGCTGTGGTTTGTAGCTGTTGCAAATTCTGCACCTTGAGATTAATTCCGTGATTTGCTTGTAGATGCCTGGCCAGTAGAAGGCTTCTTTGGCTCTCCTGAGGCACCCATGAACGCCCAGGTGACTAGCATGTACTTTAGCCATTATGCATTGTCTGAGACTAGATGGCACTATAATGCGGTCACCCTTGAAGACAATACCGTCTTGGATTGACAACTCATCTCTTAAGGGAAGTAGACCTGCAACTGGGAGGTACTTCAGTCCTTCTCTCTGGCCAGCCTTGCGTGATAATAGGAGTCAGTGTCTGGAGCTCTGTATAAACTTCAGTGGCACTTTTGATTTCCTGCAAGGTTAGTTTCCAAATGGGTACAGACTCCGCCATGTCTACATACTCCGTCTCAACTTCCGTTGGTGATCTTGTGGCGGCAATGCTCCATACTTCCTGTGTGTCCTCTATGTCTGGTGTACCTAGAGGGGGAGGTAAGCTTGGCCAAGTGGGTCAGCTATGTGCATCTCTGTACCCTTCCTGTAAGAAACGTCTAAGTCAAATTTCTGTAGACGCAATAGCATCCTCTGCAATCGCTTTGGTGCACTCAATAGACTTTTTTTCATGATAGATTCCAAAGGTTTGTGATCAGTGTCAATGAAAACCTTTCTGCCATACGCATAGCCCTCAAATCGCTCAACTCCAAAGACAATTGCTAATAGTTCTTTTTCTATCTGAGCGTAGTTAGTCTCCGTAGGCGTCAGTGCCCTAGAGGCATACGCCACTGGGGTGTTCATCTTGCATCAAGCACGCCCCAAGCCCACTCAGAGAGGCGTCGCACTGGAGTACGGTCTTCTTTTGGGGGTCAAAGAACTTGAGTACTGGTGCCTGGGTTAAGGCCTGCTTCACTTGATCTAGACACTGGCCATGAACTTCTTTATCCCAGGTAAATTTATTGTCCTTCTTGACAAGCTCTCTCAGTGGTTTGACCAAATCTGCTAGGTTGGGAGTAAACTTCTGCACATAATTTATCATGCCTAGTAGTCTTTGGACACCTTCCTGGTCAGTAGGAGGCGGCATTTCATTGATAGCTTTCAGCTTGTTTGGATCTGCCTGGAGGCCCTCCAATGATATGATGTGGCCCATGTAGCTGACCCACTTCTCTCTGAACTGTATCTTCTCTGGGTTGAGCTTAATGCCCTTTTGCCTACAGCGGATGAACACCTCTCGCAGGTTGTGGTCGTGATCTTTGAGTGCTTCCTCGTCAGTGTCCCCTGCTCCAAACACCAGGATGTCGTCTGCTACAGCCCTCTGCCCTTGTAGGCCTTCAAGTGCAATATCAATCCTCCTCTGAAACTCCTCTGGACTCCAAACGGCAAGCGAAGCCATCGATGGCGTCCCCAGGGTGTTCCAAAGGTAGTAGCAAAACTGCTGGACTCATCCAACTGTATGTGCGAGAAACTATTTTTCGCATCTAGGACCGTGAACACACGGGCCTTCGATAACAGGGGCAACACATCATCTATTGTAGGTAAGGGGTAATGAGTTCTGTGTAAGGCTTCATTCAACGGTTTTGGGTCAATACATAGTGTAACTTTGCCATTTTTCCTGGTTGTGACAACAACTGCTGAAATCCAGCTCGTGGGTGTATCGACCTTCTGAATCACTCCAATATTTGACAATCTGTCCAGTTCGTGCTTTAGAGGCTCTCTGAGGGCAATGGGGACCTTCCGTGTAGGTAGCTGGACTGGCTGGACGTTTCTGTCTATCTCCAGGTGGAGTAGCTCTTCTAGTTTGCCTTCCCCAGTGAATGCGTTGGTGTACTGTGAAATGTAGTCTTCCACCTTGGGATCTTTCTCCTCTACCCCACTTAGCTCCACAGAACAAATATTCTGGCGGTTGACTGTTAGCAGCTGAAGGTGTTCGCTGGCCCTCGAGCCCAAAATGGATTTACACTTGGTAATCATCTTTATTGAGGAAACTCTTTCATAACAGATATGGTTTTCAAAAAGGACCTCGAAACTAGATATATATAGTAGAAACAAGAAAGCAATAAAATTGCAAAGAGATTAAAAGGATACAAAAAATGCATAAAAAATTAAAAATCAAAAATATATTAAAAATAACCATAAATAAAAATTAAACGTAAGTAGCTATATTAAAAACTTAAAAACATTACGTCTAAAACTATTGACATTCTTTGAGTCTTTGATAGTCTGACTGAGGGAGTTAAAATCGGAAACGGCGTGATATTGTGATCTTTGCTTCCCCCAATTTCTTTTGACACGCGGTAATCTAAAATTGCCTTTGTTACGTGTATTATGCCTATGAAGTACGTCTTGTCTAATCAAGTCCATATTGTGATTAGTTAGGCCATTGATGCATTTGTATACGTGTACAAATCTTCTTTGAAATCGCCTTTTCTCTAGAGGCAGCCACTTGAGAACGGCTAACGCCTCAGTGGAGGATGAGTAGAATGGTCTATTTAAAATAACTTTAGCGGCCTTATTTTGCAAAACTTGCAAACTAGACATAAGGGTAATATTATGTTTATCGCCCCATACTAGATCAGCATATTCAAAAAGGGGCATAACAAGACCTTTATAGAAAAGTAAACGCGCCCTGAAAGGCAATAAATGCTTTATACGCTTGAGAAGCCCAAGCCTCTGATTGATTTTCCCAGTTAGGTGTTCAATATGATCTGTCCATGTGAAATCCGAAGATATATGTATACCGAGGTATTTAAAGCTGCGAACATTACTTACACTATGATCTAAAATTGAAACAGACAAATCTACTTTGCTTTCGCGTTTCCTACACTTCCCACGAACGAGATGAAACTCGATGTTGTATTTCTTGTTGTTCTTGGGGTTGACGACTTTGAATCGTTTCTTGCCCAAGGGTTTGACCTCAGACTGGTTGTACATTACCAGGGTCACAGGGGTTTTTTCGAAGTCACTCAAGCCATCTTGGGCACAGAGCTTTAACACGGTCTCATCCGTCATGATGTTTACTGTTGATCCACTGTCTAACTGAAACTTTTCTTGGATTCCATTGAACAGTAGAGTGGCAAACACTTTGTTGGGGGAGCGATTAGAGGCTAGTGCATTAACCTGCTCGTTCACTTCTATCTCGGCCACATATTCGTACTTCTCGTCTTCGGATGTGTAGTCCACAGACAGCACTTTCTTCCTAGATTCTTGGCAACATACCGCAAAATGATTTAGCTTGCCACAATTCTTGCAAGATGTTCTCTATGCAGGGCAGTTCTTCTTAGTGAAAGGGTGATATCTGGAACAAAACTTGCATTTGCGTTTGTGTGGCTCGTTTTGGCTCTTCTCTGGAACCTTTGCGTTCCTTTTGTCCACTGTTTTTTTTTTATTGTCCTTCACTAAACGGACATCCTCTTGATTCATCTCTTTCAGTTCCCTTGCTGATGTCTGCGAAGATCTGCAGATGTCTATGCATTGTCCTAATGTGAGCTTGCTTGTCTGCAGGAGCTTCTTACGAGTGGAATTGTCATTAATGCCAACCACCATTCTATCAGGAATAAGCGAGTCTGTCAGTGACCCATAGTTGCAAGTCTTCGCTAATTTTCGTAATGCGGTGACATACGCATCAACTGATTCATTTGCCTCTTGGTCCCGGCGGTTGAACACATATCTTTCATAGGTCTCATTGCACTCCCCAATGCAGTAGTCTTTCATTTTTTCTAGGATCACTTCTGGGTCTTTTCTTTGGTCTTCGTTCTCGAACTCCATGACATCAATTACGTCTAATGCATCAGAACCGATACATGTAAGTAGCGTGGCTGCCCGTCGCTCCCTATTTCTGGCCGGGTTTTCGGGGTCTTTCAGTTGAGCGGCGATTTCGTAATTTGACCACGCTCGACAGAATCTTTGCCACTTGACGGGAAGGTTTTCACCGCTGAAATCCATCCTTTCTGGAAGCGGTATATCTACCGGAACAGTTATCATCAAGGGTGGTGTACCTGAATAAGCACCACCACTTTCTTCGCCCGTGGCAGGCATATTACTTGTTCAGAAATATCGCTGAGATAATTCAGAGAAGTAACTTCAATAAACTCACCAAGTTGGCGTTCGGCTGGGCCACGAGCGGTAGTATAATGTGTGTTTCACTCCTGACAACCATGTAGCGTAGTCCAAACGAGTACAAGAACGATGGCAACACAACGGTTCTTTAATACGTCTCATAAAAGCCCGCCATTACTAGGCG